TCAGCATTCTCACATGAAACCCTCCCATAGGCACAAGATTGTTACCTGTGCAGTCACAAAATGATTACTAGACGGTGTATCCCCAACCAGCTCACGAAGAGAAATTTCCATCTGATCAACTGTCTCCTCCAAGGAAGGTTTCCTCCGAGTGACTGCTGATTGGGCCCGAGGGTTCCTTGACTTTGACACGCCCATCCTTTGTAAAGCCTGGGAATATAAAAGTTTTCAATGTTCCTAATTTTGACTTCTGAACATACGTACATGATGAAATGGTATTACAGAACAAGACTACTTGAGAAAAAAACTAATCTGGTGCGAACAGCAAAGGTTCTTGAAGACCAAGTTTCCTCCCATGCATAATCAAGAAATATTCTGAACCCAAAATTATTTAGATTTAGGCATTGCAAAATATCTACAAACAAGCAATTCACCCCGTTATCAAAAGCTCTTCATTATCTCAACTTTGATGAGGCCCCTTTCTGTCCAGGTCTTAAAGCTGGTAGCGTAAAGAGGTATGACTTTACACTAACAATATCAAACATCCCACACAAAACAAATTGGGATACTGGGGAAACAAGAAAGGTAAAGTGATGAGTAAAAACAAAATTGAGCAGAAAAAACAACAACATTTCACACAATATGACACAAGGCTTAAAAGTAGTTTCATGAAATTAGAACTTGGTCAACATAAAAGCTCATCATCAGCACACAAAAAAAGTAAGTACTGCTATGACCTTACTTTACATGTTGAGTCAAAAATCTTGTAGTCTCTCTTCAATGATTTTCACTCATCCTGTCAAGAAAGGTCAAACAAAGGTTATGATTTTTTCTTAAATTTGCAGTTCCAACAGCATACTCCATGCCATCAGCAATCTCACCTTATTATGCCTGATGATTTTGGAATCAACGTCCTCCATCGCTAAAGCTGAATCTGTATTTCTGTGAAGTGGAATCCGAGACATGCTTTGTTGGTGATCTTGTAATACAGCTTCCATGTACAATTGACGGTTCTCCAGGTAGCGTTGCTGACACTCTTTGATCTCTGCTTGCACAGCTTGATAGTCTCTTTCCAATAACTTCAAGGCAAATCGCTCCCAGTGACATTCATTCTTCGTCTAGGGAGAAAAAAGTATAGATTACATTTCTTTTCCAAATTTGTGCAGGAAAAATTATGACCCAGAGGATTAGAAAATTCTCAGGTCATATCTGTAAACATTTTCATATACCACAACAGATTTTAGACATTTGAAACTTACCAAGAGAAAAAGTATTACAATACAATACCTAATTTAAATAGAAGTTCAAGTTGTTGTTTTTTTCCCACAATGATAAAAACCCAATAAGACTGGAAATAGAGATTCAAAATTTACTCAAAGGCGATTGCTTATTTACATTGTTTATTTTCAATGAGATAAAATCAAGCACACCAGAGGGTGGAAAATCAGTAATACGCACTTTTTAGCCAGTCAGTAAAATTTTTATATATTTACGTTACTTAAAAATTTCTATTTCAGTGAAAAGAATCACGCAATACATAGAAAGACAACCTTTGTTTGAACCTGTGAGTTCGGCCGGGCGATGGTCCCGTCATTTTTCATACCCTGTTTAGGTGGCTCAAGACCTGTGTTTTTCAAAAGAAAGCACAATGATCCTGTCTAAACCACAAAATACAATGTACATAGCAACAAAACAACACCTATTTTTTTCTTCACACTCTTGTTGCAATTGCACACATGAACTTTTAAAATATCCGTACTTCATATTTGCAATTTACTTTTCACAAAGACAAAAAGACTTTAAAAAAACCCTCGTTTATCTCTGCGTAAAAGAAAGCAAAAGATATGCCACATTTTACTGTGAGATTAAGGATCCTTTATTCTCAAGTTGGCCTATACTGAAAATAGTAAAAGAAAGAAGAGAATTTAAATTTACACTAATTTAAATAATTTTATTTAAAAAGTGGCAAGCTCTGTGTTAACTTACCAACAATGTTAGACAAATGAATAGTTGCATGCCGATCTCCTGTCCATGACCTAATGGTGGACAAACAAAGCAAAAAGGGGGAAGAAAAGACACAAATAACATTAGATTTTGGCATGGTGAAAATTATATCTCAGAAAAAAGCGGTTGAAAATAGGGCTACCCTTCACCCTCTGAGACCTAACATTGACAACACACTCTATGGAACTTTACAGCAACTGCAGCAAACCTGCACTTATCACTACATGGCATTTAGACAGAAGGGTGAGAGCCCAGCTGTTGCTAGATCGATAACAACAACAACAACAGAAAAGGGCTATGATAAAAAACCCAGTAACTTTGGCATGAAAATTAATCTTGTTTATCTAACGTCCAAAAAGTGGACAGCATTTGTTATTTGAGTAAAGGAAAGGTTGATAATACTACCATTGATTCTGTTCCTGAAGAAGCCCTTTACCGGGCGAAACGTTGAACTTATTAAATTTGAAAAGTCTACTAAGTCTCATACCCTTTTTTCTTCCCTGCTATCTACAATGATGATGATGATGATGATGATGATGATGATGATGATGATGATGATGATGATGCTGATTTTTCGTTTCCTTAATGGGCCTGACGGACTTCACGAAGAAATCTTCGAGTGAGATCGAGGCTCTTTTTCGGCTCCATTGCCAATATGCTCAGCGGCACCTCCACTCGTCCAAATAACTCCATTCGAATTGCCATTGTTCCTGGACATTCAAACATATGTTTGATATCCTCCTTTTCATGGCTGCATCTTCGGCAACATGGGCTGAGCTCTTCATTTACAAAGTTCTTATACCATCTTAAACTCCAATGATGGTCCGACCGCAGTCTCGCTAGCTCAACCTGGTCCCAGCGACATGTGATAGATTTTTGTTCCCGCTTATAGAAGGAGTACCTAGAATACACATCTTCCAAGTGCTGGTACTTAGTTCTACATGATGATGATGATGATGATGATGATGATGAAGATGATGACGATGATGATGATCATCATCATGATGATGCTTTTGCTCTCTTTAAAAAAAATTCACATTAAGGACTTCACTGTCATAAAAAAAACTTTGAAAAATGGCACAGAAAGAATTATATTTCACTCTCCATCAACAAAGTGTACAAACATAACAAGGATTGTTTGCTAATCTAAAATGACTAAAAACCTCTATCACAAAAGACAACTAAATTTCTTGTGACTATTCACAACTAAAATTAAATGCTACATAATGTGGCAAAGTTCCACTACAAACCAGCTATGCTGAAAGAACACATCTTGAAGCACTGTAAATTGGGATATTTACTCAGCCTCTTGCTAAATTTACTCAGGACAATACGGAGAGCATAAACCATCACTTTTGAGGGTGACCTAAACTTGAGCATTGCCATGTACAGTATAACCCTGATAACATGAATTTCACAGAACCAGAGCATTTGTTCGTTGATAAGCACAAAGCAGATTTCATGTTAAACAAAGAGTGCTAATAGAAGATCAAAAATGGGGAGGCCACTTCTTTCTATCTGTTGCAACCAGACCTATTTTTAATCGTTAATAATACATGCAGAGCTGCCAACTTTTGGAAATTAAAAAGGGAAACATTTTCAAGCTCACATGGATGCCTTGACCACACAGAATGAGGATCAAGGAGAGGTTGCAGTTATTTACTTGGTAATTTCCCAGGCTACTACTCCTTTAAGAAGGAAAAAACAAAGATGGAATTAATAAATCATAGCTGTTAATTATACAGATAATCTGAAAACAAATCAAAAAGGGATGCTCCATTTATAGTAGGGATTGTTGTCAGCTCTCAGTGTTGCACTGAATTTTCTGTCCCACTCATTTCCAATGCAGTAGGTGGTGAGAGTTTTCTGGTTGTTATTTTTTGGGGGGATTGAATGCCTGTTGTGTGATATGTACTGACAATTCAAGGCTACTGTGAAGGGGGGAAGGAGGAGAGTTAGCCAGGAGGTATGATGAAACAGCTCAAAACATGTTCCTGTCAACCAGATCTGTTAGGATTTTTGCTATGTCATGGGAAGTTGCAATGCATGGAATAAAAAGGGGGAAAATGGGAAATTAAAATTCTTTTGTCTTAACAGGACTCTAATATACATTAGCCTAGGGTTGTAATACAGAAATAAATTTAATAAGAACTGCTGTGATCAAAACATGGGATGAGCTGAAGAACCATTCTGTACGACACATATCTGTGTGTGCGTGTATGTGTGTACGAGGTAAAACACCAAACCAATATGCCAGGGTCCGGAAAATAAAGAAATATCTTTTCTTATCTTACCTCTTGATCAAAGAAATGAGACAGTTTAGTTGATCAGTTAGTTTCTTGTTATCTGCTTGGCAAGCTGAAAGTTCCTGTTTCAAAAGTTGCACAACATTTGATGCGTTGGTATCCACATCTGAGGCAACTTTTGAGCCAAATACATGAAGAGAATGATTTCCTTGCATCGTCAATATTTTTATATTCTGTAAGACAAAGTGATGATGTTTTCAGTGCATGACAGATTAAATGCTTTTTGCTATTTAATATCAAAATGAGAGAGAGAGATAGAGAGAGGGAAAGAGAGAGATAGAGAGAGGGAAAGAGAGAGAGAGAGAGAGGGAAAGAGAGAGAGAGGGAAAGAGAGAGAGAGAGAGGGAAAGAGAGAGAGAGAGAGAGGGAGAGAGAGAGAGAGAGAGAGAGGGGGAGAGATAGATAGAGGGGGAGAGAGAGAGAGAGAGAGAGAGAGAGAGAGAGAGAGAGAGAGAGAGAGAGAGAGAGAGAGAGAGAGAGAGAGAGTTTTAGTAAGTGTTTTACGGCACTTGCAAAACAATAAGGTCACATAAGTGCTGAAGATTAGAGGTGTTACAAGAGAGTAACAAACACAAAAAAGAAGGAAGAGAGATAAAGACGATAGATGTTTGATAGGAAAGAAGAAGCAAACCACACCTGAGCATCCGCCAATCACCCATCCACGGGAGAGAAAAAGAGAGAGAGTGAGAGAGAGAGAGAGAGAGAGAGAGAGAGAGAGAGAGAGAGAGAGAGAGAGAGAGAAAGAGGGGGAGAGAGAGAGGGAGGAGGGAGGTAGAAGAGAGAGAGGGTAGGATAGAGAGAGTCATATTTTGTGTGTGAGAGACAGTTTGATAAAAAAAAAAGTTTAAAAAAAACTTGTCTTCTGGAATACCGTATTTTCATCCTTACTAGACCACATCTGTGCCTTCTTTAGACATGTATCTTATTGAGATAGCTCTGATCACAAACACGAACAACAATTACACACATTAATACAAACATAACTTTCACCTTCCTCCCCCCTCCCCACCCCCAAACACCCACATATACTCACACATTGTCAAATACAAAACGTTAATGAAATTTGAGAATTTGGACATGGCATGTATGTAGGCCTATAGTCATAGAGGGATTGTATCAAGCTAAGTTGTTAAATTTATGAGGACGGAGTTTCAATGTAAGGAGGACATTGAGAAAGGGAAGGGGAGGAGAAAAAAATTCTTTTTATAAAGAACAATGTTTTTAAAACGTTTTCAGGGGTATCTAGATCTAGTTGGACCACTTGGAGTGCAGTTTTAACCCTGGTCCTGCTGGAGCCGGGTTTATATTCCCGATAAGCCTATTTCGGCACCCCGCCTTCATTCCGGAGGTCCTGTGTCAGTCTGGACCTGGCTCAGTGCATGCGCGCCGAGCATCATCCGTGTGATGACCTGGTTCCATATTCCCTCAGCTCAAGTGTGTGTGCGTCAGTCTGCTTGAGTTTGTGTATTTGAGGCCTACTTCTACAACCACCTGCGTTGGTTTTTATAACCGAGGCATATGTCTCATTCAAAACACGCCAAGTTGGTAGCTTTAGATGTTCGTCTCATGAAATTAGAACAAATTGACCCACTTAGAAAGAGGAGCTCGAAAGGATAGTCAGAAAACAAGACTTCCATTTTTCTATACAAAATTTTTCAAATGTGCTTGATTATGTTTGAAATGATGATGTTACCAGATAAAAATAAGTTTATTTGACAGTTTGGAATACCATTATGCAGGTAAAAAGAACAATTTGAGAACAAAACATTAGGAAATTGACCTATGATATGGCCTTTCGAACCCCAGATCATTCGTAACAACATCAAGAGCGTCTAAAATAGTTATTTGAATGTGCGTGACATACTCGTAATGTCTTGTCAGCTTATGAGAGGGGTTTCATGTATTTGTAACACTTTATAAATAGAAAGCTATAAAAGATAGAGCGTTATTTTCATCAACGATTAACTCGTTCCCATGGTATTCACCGCAAAAACACACGTTTCCAAGGCCGCTCACTGCACACAAACATTACACGCTGAGTGACCCCGGCTGCCCGCCGGGAAAGTCCGACTTAATAGGCTGCTGATAAGATTCGCATCTCGGCACAAGACACATGACAAGAGTTAACTATTAACGCTCTCGAGTTCACGCCCTTGTATATCGACCGATATCAGTCGATCGTCGGTGGGCCCAGAGCGAAGCTGGCTGTCGCTATAATAATTCGCCTAGAATCTGCTATGTGGTTTATTTCGGTAAAGGAATGGCTAAACTTTTATAAATACACAATTTGTAACTCCTTTTTCAAAAGAGTTAGCCGTTAGGGGTGCCCGGATAATGACCTCAATTTCCCGACTACTTTCGTTTCCTTCGCCTCCATTTTGTAAACAAAGAACAGCTGCTTGACTGTCTTCACACAAAACGAACAAGTTTTCAAGTAAAATGACCGATTCTGACCCCGATTATGGTCTGAATGACTCATTTAGTGAGTTTTCTATCGACGACAGAGACTCTGAATCAGATAAAGAGTCTGACAATGACGTAGCAAGTCCTCAACCAGGACCAAGTGGTGCAGCCAACTGGTAAGTGATGATTGCACTGAGCATCTATGAACAGCTAGACCTATCGAAACCTAATATTGGCCCGGTGGGTACTAAAACGTGTGTTTTATTGTACAAATTATTAAAATTTGGTGTTTTCTTATGAAATTGGTTAGAATTGATAAGCTTTTATCTTTTTTCTTATTTTTTGGCATTTTTTTTGTACCCAACGTGCGGTTGCTAGCTGCTTGTTTACGTTCAAAATGGTGGATCCTGAGACGATTCTCTTAGTTTACAACATTACAACTGATTGATAACGTTTGCTATCCACTGCAGTTTGTTATTATTAGTTCTAATTTAAATGTATCATCAATTCTTTATTTTTATGTGAACAAGGGAATAATTTGTTTAGATCCATGTGGCCTCAGCTCAGGTGAGTTGCGAGTTGTCATTTTTGTAAACTGAGTCTGACAATTGAAGAGTGGTATGATTGGAGTGGTGAAAAAAAAAAGTCTTGCTGGACTTATTCTAACATGCCTTGTTCCTGTGCATTTTCCGACAGGGGTGACTTCATTGGTTCGTAACATGATGCGGACGATGCAAGGTACCCAAGTTCAAAACGACGCTGCGGCCAGGCCTGCATCTCGATGAGGACGGGACCAAACAAGATGCAGAAATATCTGACACCAGGTGAATTTTTTCCCCAGTCCATTTGCATTTTTATAATCATTATTTTTTACAACAAGACTATAAAAAATCAGTAGATATTGCTAAGGCTCGGGGTTTTTGTCTCAAATAATGAAACAATTCATAATATGCTTTGCTTGACAATTCGTTTATTTTAGCTGTAACAAGAATTTACTGACAAATTGGGATGTCTATTAGGTTCAAAATTAACTGTTGCACTGTTGAACACTTTGTGTGAGAGAGTTTGTGTGCGTGTGTATGTGTGTGTGTGTGTGTGTGTGTGTGTGTGTGTGTGTGTGTGTGGTGTGTGTGTGTGTGTGTGTGTATGTGTGTGTGTGTGTGTCTGCGTGTGTGCTCTTGCATGAGAAGAACAGAGAAACAGAGGGGGGGGGGGAGGGTAAAAGAATGAGCGTGACGGAGAGAAGGGTTCATCCCGCACAGATGTACTGTGTGTGTACATTTGTGTGATTGAATGGTGCATTGCTGTGTGCGTTGTATAATTTGTAATGTGTACTTTGCTGTGTTGTTCCTGAATTTTGTATGTTGATGTACTGATATATCCACCTAAAATTTCCCTCGTGGATCCATCAAATTTATCTTATCATATAAATATCTCTTATCATGGATGGCTTTTATCAACAAATCTTTCTTGTGCATCTATTTTCCAACAGGTGCTTTCTTCACTCTTTCGAATGGAGGCTTTTGTGTTGCAGATCTGCACATACACCTACGAGTAGGCCAACCTTGCTGCAATGAAAGAGACTCGTCCATCTCTAGCGCAGAAAGTGTTCTCATTGTTATCATCTTGAGAAAGTTGAGAGAAAGTCTAGTGTCAAATGTAACAAGTGTGGAAAAAACTGTTTTAGTAGTACAAGAAACTGTCTTCTTTTAGATCATCCAGTTAGTGAGTATGAGTGATGTTTTTGTATTCAATGACATACTCTGGGTGGAAATATATGCACAAATGTTTTCGTTGCTATTTTTCAACTCAAGTTTTAATTCTTCTAGCATCACAGTTGGTTTATAAACCTTTTAGATGATGAATTCTTCTTTTATTGTCAAATAATGTGATTTGAATGTTTTTGTAGAAATGTCATAGCCTAAACTTGACACAATGGGAGTAATCAGAGAATTTTGTGAAAATTATATTTTCGGTTACAATTATCACCGCTTGTAATTTTCCATGTGCCACCAAAGTGTTCATATGGGTAAAAAATTATTCATTCTTTGTCTGTCATGAGCAGCAATGGACATTCTTTTAGAATATCAATAAATTTTGGGTCAATCTGATCATACTTTTTTTTCCTTCTTTATGTTTGTCAGTTTCATGTAAAATTGTGTGCGCAATCTATTTTTAGTAACAGTTAAAATAGGTCACCACTCAAAGCAGACATAAATAAAATTAATTGTTATCATTTTACTGTATTCTACATTCAATTTCCTTTACATAGATACATAATAAGCCTGGGTATAGTGCAAGACTTACTCACACCAGGGCAAAGATCTGAAGAGGTTGTGAATAAACACAATTTTCTTAAAAAGTGGTGAACTCGAGAGAGTTAAGCTAAAGGCTAATCAGCTCCAGCTAATAATTAATAATGAGGGAATAAGATAAGGTCATCCGTTTTGTTGTCTTTTCCCTACTTCTCAAAGTGAATAGTGATTCTCCGAACAAAAGATCTTTAACTGATTCCGTCCATTCGGCCGCTGACAGCGGCTCTGAGTTTTTCCGCTGCCTCCATTCGGCCGCTGTGAGCGGCTCAACGAAATCCAAAACAAAGGTGCACTTTTTAACATAGTTCCTACTTTTTAAGTTGTCGAAAGGAAGTAGAACTTGTAAACAAACCTGACCTCATTCTCTGAGCGCCAATATCGATCGAAACTCCACGAAATTCTTGCAAAAATCGTTGTTTTGTTGTCGCGATGTAGGCCAGATCTAAGGGTAAACAACACAGAGCCTGGTATAATAAGAAAGATATTCAACTAAATTTGCGAAATTCTTGCATAAATGTGTGCTAGGGTGATATCGCTACAATGTTGTGTTGATTCCTATGGATTATAAGGACTTGTAGAGCTGAGAAAATGCGGTAAGTCGAAATTTTCGAAGAGCTGTTGCGCAATTTTTTTTTCTCATGCGTTTTTGTCAGAAGGAAAATGCAATGCAAACAGATTATAGGTCATATTGTCATTGATATAAACAGATTCTTCTATTTATTCCCATCAGTTTGGTATATAACAATACCTATTAGAGTAACTTAGAGCTTCACAGTAATGCATTTCATTAAATAGATGCACCCCAGGTCTAAAACTGAACAGGGAAAAATAATTCTGTCCAGAGGCTGAAAAAAACATGGACGGCATCAGTTAATTCTTATTTCTCAAGCGATACATTTAGTAGTTGCATGTTAGTATAAATTTTTTAAAATCGTCTCTGTCAATTGCATTAGTCCTAGACCTAGATATCTAGATCTAGATCTAGTACTAGATCTAGTAGTTAGCCTAGTCTAGTCTCTTCAGCTGAATAATACTAAATGACTAATCGAATAGTTAATAGTAATAGCAGTGTTGACTTGAATAACCGGCTGTTTTAAGACAAAAGCCAATACAAAAGTGGACTCCAAGGACTGCAGTGACATAACAACAGTTTATGTCATCTAAACACAGCTAACAATAAAACCAGAAGTACGCACTAACTCCACTGGTCGTGTCGAAGAGAAAGCTGCATCCTCAAACATGAATTGTGGACGCCATATTGTTTATCATGGCTAGTAACAAAATATGTGGTATAAATGTTATACTTTGTATTGAAAACAAAATATACATTTACAAATTTATGAAACATGTATAAGATTTCAACATTATTTATTTAATTTTAAAAATCGATTATTGAATAAATGTTGACTTATTACACTTTGCAGTTTTTGGGTAATTTGATAAAATCAAATATAATTTATTTGAACTGTTGTTTTAGAATCTCCTGATGTGGAATTCTTTTTTATTTGTAATGTTCCGTACTTGTACATGTAAGCTAATCGTGAGCACTGAGCACTCGGAGTCACACGCTAAGATAGAACATCAATTCTCGTGGTCTAGAAGTGAGGTGTTCGCCTCTCATTCAATAGGTTCCAGGTTCGAAACCTGACCAAGACGGACAATTTAGTTCTTCCAAAAAAATTTCTTCGTTCACCTTTCATGCTGACTTTTCATGTTCTGCCTTTTGCTTTCGTCTTAAAACTCGTCCTCCTTCCTCTGCTGGCTCCCGACTCTTTCTGTTGCCTTCCTACTAAAGCCTACTTTATTAAAGGTAGAACTGGGGTCTTAGGAAGACGGGGTGCTGCGATCCATACTCCCTTGTCCCTCTTCACATGGGTCCATTTTAGTGTGTGAAGGGTGATTGTCTCCGTCTCAGCTGGTTGTTGTAGCGTCTGATGTGTCACGCAGGCTGCTGCTCTTGCCTTCACCAGGCTGTACTCCTTTCTCGATCACAATCTCTTTTGTGAATGATTCCTCTTCACATGTATTACAGTTGGGGGGTCAAGGGTAAGAACTCCTATGTTTGCGGAGCCTGCTAGCTTATCTGCTCTTTCATTTCCTTATCTAATGCATGTCCTGGGTAGAAGACCCAAAGCAAGCATCTGATTTTTACTGTCTTGGATTGTCATAAACCAATTTGCATACAGGCTGCCAGTCAGGATCTTATCCAGGGTACTCATTGAGTCTGTAACAAAGGTATCCTGCTGGTTTCCACTTGTGCGAAGCCATTTCAGAGCCTCAGTGATGGCCTTGATCTCCATGCACATGCTTGATGTAGTGAGGCCCGTTGCCCCAGAGGCCTCCTGGATTGTTATTCTTTGCAAAGAAGCCGTGTAAGCCCAGCCTGATTTGATCCCACGCTGAACAGATCCATCGGTGAAGATGATGGTTTCATCCTCTCTGCAGTTCTCTTCAATTAGGAGGGTCTGGATTTCAGCATGTGTTGCTCCTTCAGGACATTCACGACAAACTCACCCCGATGCCAATGTAACAATCACTGGAGTGAAATCTGTCTTTCATCTCGTCCGCAAGTTTTACCCATGTCTCCCCTTGTCTGATTGCCCCCACAGTGAGAC